ACTAGCTACGAAGAAAAAGAAAATTCTGAAGGAAAAAAAAAGACATTTGTAGAGTCAAATCATGTGGTTACTGGATCCTGACCCAAATTGCCTCGCTCGGGATGTCCTGATGAACCACGAATAGAAGATAGTAACCAGGTGGTGCAAATATAGCCGATTTTGGAAAGACACAACTGATTTGATACACAAATCTTCCAACTTGTCTTACAATTCCAGATCTAGGAAGTACCAACATTCTTTGGTTCATAGTAAAAGAATGTGTATTAAATCCGGGTGCAACCATCGTCACTTTGACCAAATCTCTGTTTAGTAATCTGGAAGCAGTAAACCGAATGTCAACACGTTGCCCATACGTGAATTTAAGATGGGAAGCGGGAGAAATGATCCGTGGTCGCAAATTAGCTGATTCAGGATCCAAATAGGATGGTGAGAATGCCTCCAAACTTAAATCCGTTGGAAAAAGAACTCCGGTGAAGTTGTAAAGCTCATTTGGGTTACTGCCACCAACAAGAACCCGACCATCTCTAAGTAAAACTGCCGTCGAGTGGTACATTCTAGGTATGACATTCGGGTTTTGTACCTCGAATCTAGAATCGGATGGGTTATCGGGTCGATAAATCACTGGACTCAGGACCGGGTTCCTAGCAATTTGCCATCCAGCAGTGCCCGATGCCGCTCCATTAATGATCAAGACATTTCCATTTGGTAAAATCACCATGTCACCCATTGTTCGAGCTAGTGGCATTGTCTCTATGGTCCACTGTGGATTCGGGTCGGTAATTGTAATTCGCCCGCACGTGTTTAATGCACCCAAAAATTCACCTTTGTCCGCTTTGGGGTATGATCCTCTTGGTGCTCCACCGCACACTAGAACCTCAGCTTGGACCGTTTGTGATCTCAAGTTCTTTAACGGAAGTATTACTGCAGAACCCGAACTTGGATAATTTCTTGGGTCACCACCAGGTATTTGTGGGTACGTTTTCACCACCTTATTCGTCTTGTAATCGAATAAAATAGCTCGATCATTGGCGAAAATGAATAGGTTTCCATCCACATTGAGAAAAACAAACGGAAAAAGATTGTTCTCTTCTCTAGGATTATTAGTTTGCTGAAGAAAGGGTAGGTTAAATACGTTGTTGGTTGAGGCAGTCTTGGGATAAAACTCGTAGTTAAAAGCCTTACGACCACCAATGATAATTTGCCTTCCATCTGGA